GACGCTCAATCCTCCTGAACGGAATGCAAATGAAGTTAGAATAGAAAGGAAGGGATACAGTGTAAAAGAGACAGAGAAAAAAAAGGAACGTGATAGAGAGCAAAAAAACACGAGAGAAAAGGACGAAACAAAACGTTCAGGAGGCTAAGAAAAAGAGAGAGCATGGGGCTCGTAATAATTGTACTATTATAGTTATGTAAACAGGCTCGTTTATGGAACTGCCTTAAGGCAACCTTCCCAGTCGACGTCTCATTAGTCCCGACAGAAAGGAGGAAGGAGGAAGAGCATAGAAAAAAAGACGGAAAGCGTGACCTCAATGGTGCAAGTGCTGATTTTAAATCGATTGGGTCTGAATATTCGTTTTACTATTTCACACCTTTCTTTCTTTATCGGATCTTTCTTTTTCCGCAGCGAGCGATAACAGGTGAAGCCTATCTAAAGTGGGAGAATGTACTTTCTGTGGTGAAATTTAAATTGGCAAGAAATAGCTATAATAAAGAGAAAAGGATAGAGAAAGAAAGAAGAACGTGAGTTAATATCATAAAAGGATATGAGAGGATTAAAACTTGTTAATTTAGGAATGCGTTGTCAGAGAGACAGAGAGAGAGAGAGAGAGAGAGAGAGAGAGAGAGCAGTGATGATTTTTTTATTTACAACACTGAAATCAAATTAATAAAAAAAAGAAGGAATTTAATATTCATAATATCAACGATCTATTAATAAATTGTTCTCTAGTTGCAATAAAGTTTACAATTGTAATTGTAAATAATTTTTTATAAGTAATTTTAAATAAGTGATTATAAATAACTAATTTGAATTAATTAATTAATGCTAATTAAATCATATAAACTAAAGATAATTACGCTTGAAAATAAGATTACTTATTCATTATGTATAATTTCTCTCTCGCTCATTATATGTAAAAAATGTATTGCTATTTAATTTCTGTTTAGACTTATTGGCTATTTAACTTCTTCTGTTTACATATAACTATGTAATTGTTAAAATATATATTGAAAGTCTAATTCTGAGATAAGCAATAAGTAATAAATATATATATATAAACGCATACTTAAACTTTTATAAAATTAATCTGAGAAGTTGTCTTTGTCACTATATAATGTAAATCTATCCTACAAAAAGTGGAAGGAAATGGATAATCTCAAGAGACAGATAATGGAATATCTGCTCCAAAACGTGAAATAAAACAAGAAGAGAAAAAAGAGAGATACAGAATCTTTAGGAACGTATTCCTTGATTTACGATGCTACATAAACGTAAACTTAAACGTAGACGTTATTGCAAAACTATGTTATCAAAGTAAAGGTAACATTGAAACAAAAAGAACATATAAGGATTGTTATATTATGTACTGAATTACGTAATATGAGTTTTGCATAATAGCATTAATCTCTTATTAGAACATTATAATTTAATTATAAGTAAAAGAAAATTATGTGTTTTCTGACTTAAAGCAGCCACTTTAGAAAGATACACATTATAATTTTCTTTATCACATCTTTCTTTAAAATATTTGTTTATAAAAAATCATAAAGTAGCAAGGTTATCTTTATCTTCTAATTCTCACTAATTTATCAAATAATAAATTATTATATAATTTATCACTTCGCTTCCTATTATTATTCGTGTTCTCTACAAGATTGCATTTAGAGCGCACTTACTTCAATGCATGTCTAACGAAATGTACATTAACGATCTGGTTCCTTACGCGGTTTCACCGAAGCGAGAGATTGCGGCATACACATAGTATGATGTAGTTCTATCCTCATAAAGCAGAAAATTACTCATTAATTGCCCAAGACTATAGAGTAATAAAATTTGAAAGAGAGAGAATAGAATATTTAAAAAGAAAATGGAATCTCTTTTAAATTGTTCAAAAAAATCGCTATTATATTGGAATTATTTTTATTATTGAAACTACTATTTATTTTAGATTTATTTAATTCACATTAATAAAATAAATTTCATTATACTACGATTTCTAAATATACATATATTTAGCTTCACCGTAAAATAAATGAATCGTTATTAGATACATAGAAATGAATATGCAATAGAAAATGTAACAATAATATTTCTCTCGAGTAAAAGGAAATACGGTGAATAGGAAATGCAATAATAATCTTGATATATATTCCTCTCTCATATACATATACATATACAATATATATATATATATATATATATATATATATATTCATTCATATCATAATAATATTATAATATATATTCAATAATATATTCAATATATATATATATATATATATATATATATATATATCTTAATTACTGAAATTTTGGAACAATATCTCGATTTTTCGTTACAACTTGACAAGTTCATATATGGACTTTGTCAGTCCGTTACAAGTACAGCGAAATTAAAGTTTCTCTAGTTTCAATTACAATGCTTTACGTCAAACAATATGTATTGTCGGAAAATTCCATGCTTTCAATGAACAAACTCATTTCGACGTAACTAACGAACTGTGAGAAATGGCGAATGTTTAAAGCGCCGGATGTTAGTGGTGATGTTGCTAGATTGACGAGACATCGTGACGCCTCCTACCGCGTTTGCGGTTCTTCTCGCATTAAAAAGACATATTTCTTCTGTCTAGTATTTTGGCAGGTCATGTGCTCTCATATCTCAATACACATGTTTCATTAATTTAATTCAACGACAAATCTGCGATAAATATATATATATATATATAATGAGAATTATATATTTCAATAATAATAATAATAATGTAAATAATATGAAATTAAGATAAGGCTCGTGTATAAATTAAAATCAAACAATGCAATAATGGGCCAACTTGCGAGCCGAATTTTAATGCAAGAATATTTCTTAAAATTATTGTATTGAAGAAGACAGTTGTACTGTCGAAACGTTTACATGTTTATTTAATTGGTTTCCCAACTGTTGGATTAATTTTATTATTTTATTATTTTTTATTTGTATGTCTTAATAAAAAATCTTGTAACTTCTTAATCATTCGACTCGCAAGTTGGCCTATTATTGTATCGTTTGATTTTATATATTTCAAATTCTGTTGCAAATAATGATTTTCATTAAATGTGCCACTTTTTCAGGTAGATAAATTTAAGATAAGATAAATTTACTAGAAGAAAAACACATAATTTTAAAAATATTCAAAAGAATTTTAATTTGCTGTGACTTTAGTTTGTCGTGTCTTTAGACAGTTTAATAAGATTAATCCGACTCTGCCAACTCTAAGCTTATTTTCTATTTCAGTGTGCTATTTTCCTACCACATTCCAATCTCTTAATTTATAATATACATTAAAGAAAATTTCAGACGTTCCTCATTATACAAGTCTATGATATCTGAATGAAAAGGCATCTCTGAATGACGAGGGGCCGGAAGTAAGATTCATAAATTGAATTTATAAATCATTCCGCACTATAAGGATTTGCATGGCGCATTATATGTGAAGAGTTATAGACTTTAGAGTCTCTTTCCCTCGTTAACGATTCAATAATAATTCTATATAAAGGGTAGATCGATTCAAGAGCGGGAAATTTCTAACAGGGACAAATTTCAGTATTGATCCATCTTCATACACCGTTGTAACGATTGCCTCCGGTTAACGTAAGTTATTCGTAGCTTGTCGAGATTCGGATCTCTAACAAGATATCGAATAATTACACGCTTACGTTACGCGTTAAAAAGATATTCAGAATCTCTCGTAAATGGTCTGACATAACATTGATTGCGTGATTATCACGCTAAAGTCGGGAAAAAAGACAATCGGGATACAGAGCATAGAGCACGTATCTTTTTCTTGGTGATGGTGCAAATTGTAAATGAAAGTGATATCTAGACTGCTCGCTCTCTGGGTGAAACGCCATTATAATTTACCAATACAGAATTCGATATCGTCATTATGGATTTCGTTAATATGATGAAGGCGCTCTCTTACTTTCTTTTCGTAATAGTTACGTAAGATCGATCGATCTATTTACGTAACGCTGATATAGTCTCCGCCGTTGAGAAATGTTACCGTCAAGGAAGTAGGATTACGGAAATCGTGCTCCCTTTCCGTTCGCGTTTTCTCTCACCGAGAGAAATCTAATGCGCAATCTCTATATACGCTCCCCGTATATGCTCGAATATGAGTCGCCTAGGGCAAGTACTCGATATTATTTCTTCTAGCAACCTTGACTGTGGAATAATCTACCTTGCACGTCGGCTAAGCAAAACCTGACCGGTATGCGAGATACCCGACTTATTCGGACGTATACCTGACTTCAGCATGCATATATCGTCTAAATATTATTTGTGCAAACGTATGTGTTTAACCGACATTTGGACGCGAAAGAATTCTTCTTATAGGAAAGCATTTTAATGAGAGGTTAGAAATCGAGCACACCGACTCTTTTAAAATCTGTCAAATTTTTACGGCTAGAGGAAATTGACAAAAAAAAGACATATATTTGTCTCTCTCTCTCTCACTTCTGAGCGATATTTTATCATATATAGTCTTCAACTAGAGAGATAATAAGCTCTCCCTCCGCTCCTGCTATAGCGTAACTGTAATGTGATGACTGGTTACAGATACTTTCACATATCGCCCGGTAACCACATTGTAATATGTTCCGCCTAGTTTCACAGGAAGCAGTTAAGATTCCACTTATATCGTAGTACTTATGATAATTCGCAAGTATATTACGTAAGATAATTCAACAAGCCAGTTTTGCAGACGTTCAAATTCACAATTTATTTCTTGTCGTACGCTATGATTGCGCAAGGGAGGTAAATCGGCAGAAACAAGCGAACGGTATGTATACTTTTCAAAATAATACGTCCAGACAAATTATTTTCGCTCGCCACGGCCTAACGCTTTATTTCAAGTCAACTTTTACGTAGATAAAAAACAGAATAGGAATAGAGAGAGAGGGAGAGACAGCGAGAAAAAAAACGCCATATTAATAATTTAATATTTATTCTGCTAAGACAGCACGTGTGTAAAAAAAAAAAGAAACGCAATTATTATTATATACAACAGCGTCATTAATATCGTCAATGATGCAGATCCAAGCCGAACTCGTGTCCGCCACCGAATCCACCGCCGAAGCCGCCGCCGTGATCGTGGCCGTGTACGAGAACCGGGTACGATTCCTTGACGACGACCGGAACTTTGACCGGATAGGGCACCGGTTTCTCGACGGGATACGGTACTTTAACGGGTACGCTGTAAGGAACGGGCACCTTGACGGGCACTTTAACGGGCACCTTGACCGGATAGGGCACCGGTTTCTCGACGGGAACGTGCACGGTTTTTTCCACCGGAACCGGGTAAGGTTTTGGAACGTGATATGGTATTGGGTTGTCTACCGGGACCTTCACCGGCACGTGCACGGGCACCGGTACGTTTTTCTCGACGGTGTAGGGCACCGGTACCGGCACCTGGACTTCACGGTGGATCGTGATACCGGAGATTTTTCCATAGTCTCCTCCGCCGCCTCCGCCGCCACCGCCGCCGAATCCACCCAAGTCGCCGCCGCCGAAATCGTGTCCACCGAAACCACCGAAACCACCGTCATGACCCAGACTCAGTTCCAGACCGCGCTTGCTCTTGGCATCCTTTGAGTCGATGGCTTTCCCTTTGCTGTCGGCCTTCTTGGTCTCGGCGGCCAGAGCCACCGTCGCCACAAGGGCGAGGAGCACGAGGATCTGCGAATAATAACGTGCGTTAATTGCGGTGCTTTATGATCAAGCTTGGAATTGACTGATTAATTTTCGAGGAGCTTGCGGAATTCCTTTTGGAGGTGACAAGAAAAATATCGCCCCGCGGATAGAAAAAAAAGCGTGATGTACATATAAGAAAATTAATTGATTACAAAATCTAATTACGTCTCCCACTGTTCTCTCTCTTTTTTTTTTCGTTAGATTTTCATTCTACTGGAAAAAGAAATAATCACGTAAAAATAATTTTTATGGATTTTAACACTGTGTACGACGGCGCGAGAAACGCGACACCATAATATTATCCCTAAACGATCTCACGCCATGAAATCCCGCGACGCGGCCCTCATATGTACGTCGATCATAATCCCCGTGCATAATCCTCCATCGCGTGAGGCCCTAAAGGGACCATCGGTCGGAATCGTAGGTAAGCGCTGCTAGCAACGCGAGCTCACCTGCGAAGTGCTCATGGTAGCCTTCGGGAGTGCACACTGAGATTGCATCGTACCAATCAGCGGCATATATACCGGCCGCTTTCGCCCACTGCTCTCGCTGGCCCACTCCACGGAAAATCGCGCTCGTCTGCGTCGGTCTTTCTTTAAGGCGAACCGAGGCGCAGCGCAGTGAGCCGTTTTCCCACGGGCTATCCGCCCCAGCGTGGGGCTGATTACTGTCGGATGCCCGGATACGAGCGTCGTAACATCGCCGTCTCTCCCGATCCCCATTTATTCCAGGCTATTTCAATCGCTATTCTCCTTCCTAGCCGAGAAAGAGTCGCAATTTCAGAGTTCGCCGCGAAATTCCGTTTGACTTCCTTTCCTTCCTTCTTTCTTTCACCTCGACGTCGCAAAAACGTCACCGGGCACGTGGTCCTTTTTTGTTCCCGCCTCGTGAATTTTAGCGGATATAACCGCGGTTATGGTTGCTTGCGCAATGCAGAACTAGTCTTGGGAATAATTAGGAAACTCGATGACGTATATAATAAATACAGAAACTGGTTCACTGTTATCTCCTGTGACGCATAGCAAGCAAACAAAATATTTTTCTAAAAATTTTACACGGAGAGAATTTTCTCTTAGAATTTACCCTAAATATCGTGGTAATCGTGGGACAATGTTGGAAGAATCTTATAAGAGTTTCTCTGATAGGTAATATTTAACACGATAAAAAATATTAATGTGTACATAGTAAAATTTATTATGTACACAGCAAAATTAATCGACAACAACACTATTAACTTATAGAAAGATACAAAAAATTTGAACAATATTTATGACAAGATTAGAAAAAGGTCTAGGCTTTCAGTTAGTATATTAAACACATTTAGCTGACATGTGTCATAAGAACATATATAACAGTGTTTCTCTCTTCTTCAATCTTTACTATATTTTACTTTTGACTCTTGAAGAATTTTATAGGTAATATTGTGTTATTGCGGTTTCGTTTCTTTTATTATATATTGTTGTTTGATGATATTAACTTTTTAACATTGTATTTTTAATATTGTATTTCAGTACTTGATAAAGACCTAAACTCATCGTCGAAACGTTGTACGCTTCATTAAATAAACAATCATTTGCCAGTATTGGTCAATTTTTTAATTGTGTAATTTAACTATTGGAGACGTTAAGTTTTTTGGATTATTGATTACTTTTTATAATTATCCCTAATATTATTGTAATATTTTTAAATAATTATAATATTTTGTTATAATTATCCCTAATATTATTGTAATATTTTTAAAATAATTATAATATTCCGTTATAATTATCCTTAATATTATTGTAATATTTTTAAAATAATTATAATATTTTGTTACAATTATCCCTAATATTATTGCAATATTTTTTAAATAATTATAATATTTTGTTATAATTACGCCTAATATTATTGTAATATTTTTTAAATAATTATAATATGTTGTATTTATACAAATATATATTTTGTTATAATTATAATATAAAAGTCTCAAAGAGAAGCTATAAAATATATATAGACGTAACAGTCTGCCTAGACTGCTTAGATGACTTGTAATGCTTTCGCCTGAGATATAAGTGGATAGTAATATGACGGAGGACATTCGACTTAATCTGACGTCGTCGCGTAATCGCCCCCACGATAGAGATCTTAAATTTAATTCTACTATCTCGTCGACAGGTTTTGCTCCGGGAAAACCGATTTAGCGACACTCACAGAATGCCTCTCAAGACGTAATTCCTATCGATACACAAGATTCACCGAGTGCAATTAATCGCCAGACTCTCCTTCGATATCGCATAACTCTCGTCAAAAAAAAAATAATTAAAAATTACATTACAGACACCGCGAAATCTTCCTTAATTAATACACGACTGACTTTACGAGCCATCTCGTAAATCTAATTAGAAATGACAAAAATTCATGCAGCGTGAAATGATAATGCGAGATTGCGATGTGACGATTAGACTTTCTCCGGGTGTCGCGGACACGTGCGCGCATTTTGTATCCCGGCATCATGCTCGATGCTTGTTTAATTAAAAAGCAAATTCGCAATGCGCGAAGGAAGTTGTTAAAGTATTACAACGCCTGGCAGTAATGCGGCCATTCGATGGTGTTGCACACGTTGATGGTCGCGAAAGAGAGACAACGCGAACATTTGCGTTTCAACACACTTGCTTACGTGAGGCAATCAACGTGTTATTGTTGTCCTTTCGATTATCCTTTCGTCAAGTTTTTATATTTTGTAATATTATTATATATCAGTACGCGTATCCAAAAAAAAAAAGGAATCGAAAGTCTTTCGATTGGCAGTCAACCGCAACGTTAATAACGTAATACGTGAATCATCTAATGTCGAAATAAAGGCGATATCTTTCCTTTTTTTTTTTTTTGACACTCGATTCTAACATACCGTTATCGATTATTTTACAAAGACGTATGTCGCTGCTTAAAATTATTCACGCGCGCAACTTTTTATTAAAGCCATACTTTCATATACTTTGGCATTAAACGTAACTCTTACTTGTGTCATTCTTATTGACGTGGCATTTTATTAGCTGCTAGATGAACTAATGTATTTCCAAGTAAATATGATGTTTAAGTAATGGTGTTTTTGCAAAAGGTCCCACTTACATAATATTTTGTATAAAATAATTACTACGCAATTATATGTTTCGTTTAATAAACTCGTGTAATGATCGTATAATTATAAGCCATACGAAGCGCAATACGCATATTAAATAAATATTCATATTTCGCACAAACCATCACAAAGTTTCAATGCACGACAAGCATTTGCATTATTCAGTAAACAATTGTTCCATGTATCGGTCAGTATTTCGAAATTCGTTTAATGAGGATATTACAAATCCTCATTACAAATTCATTTAATCGATTTGAACTTTTATTTAATATATTGAACTCTCCCTCGACTAAAATGTATGTGATTAAATAAATATACTGTATATTATATATAATGTGGTATATGATGTGGTAATCTTTGCCTCTTTATAATTAGTTATTAAAATCATAGTCCATTTTAAATATTCTCTACCACATTTTATATTTTTCGATATAGTCGATTTAATTTTCTTTTTCCTTAGCTTGATTTATAAATAATGTATATATTAAATAAAAAATTAAAAATATAACATTTTTGCAATGTGCAATATTATATTTTAGTTTGCTAAATAAAAAATACGTGTCATGGATATATATAAATTTCTTATCGAATCTTTTTAGTAACCGAATAAAGAATTTTATATCTGCTACAATTTTTCCAATAAATCCTTATCTTATTTTTAAACGTCTATAATTTATGCAATTAATTTTTATTGTTTTTACTTATAGCTTTTTAAATAATTAATTTCTACTTTAATAATAAAATCATCTTAGCTTATTTCTATAGTAATAGACAAATACTTATTGATTTATAATTTAACGCTAGAAATAAAGGCACAAATTTTAAATATCTTGAAGGCTAATTATGTGCGACGTTATGTACATATTTATTAATTGTTACCATAATAACACGCGCGGTGAAAAAAATCAACTCGGAATGAAGCAAACATGCAAATTTCTGCAACCTTTATCATTAAACACTCGAAACAAAAATATCCGCACTTTCAAAGAAACTAAAATTACTATACTGTTTAAAGAGAAAGAGAATGAGAAAAAGAGTTAAAAATCTCTTTCATCTCTGTAGAGCGCAAATTATGTTTGTGTTCGAAGGGCCGAGGATGTTTCAGAAGCGGAAAGGACATAACTAGAAAACGGCTTGATAAACACCTTGAGCGAGAACATCTATCCATATATTCATGAGAGCCGCGGTCTGGCCGACTCCAAAGCCTTTCCCATTATTGCATAAGGTTACGCTTTGCGGTCGGTGAAGCAGAAATGCAGACTACGCGAAAATCCCGTCGACAACGACAACTGTCGTCGTCGTAGACATCGCGCGGGAATCCTGTCTGTGCACTTAGGAAGTATTTATGCCACCCTCTCGATAGTAGAAAAAGTTTAAGCAATTCAAACATAAAAAAAAAAAAAATATTACGATAAAGATAATAATCGCAAATCGAAAGTTCGCGGCCTCGGAAACGTTGCTTGCGGCCTTTCGCAACCGCGATCATCAATTTTACGCAGACGAGACACCTTTATTTCGAAAAAAAAAAGAAAGAAAATTACGTGTTGATTAAATTGATAACGCGTCGACCCTACAATTTTCTAATAAACTCTGAAGAACGGGAAAGGGAAGATACGCAGATATTTAAGTAGACATTAGGCGCAGGTGCTCGCGTGCAAAGGAATAATTTGCATACGGTGTACACGAGCTCGGCTTGCTTCGTCGTACGAGATCAAAAGCGGTTTTCGTGGTTTTGCGAAAAAGCAACTTCTAAGCGACATTAGCGATAGGAAGCGCGATGTGTCAAAATTTACATAATTGCAATCTGCATAAATGTCAAGAAATCGGTAGAAAGTACACGATCGCCAATATATCGCTACCTTTAATGCAAGCGTGTATCATATACATGCATTATATCCGGCAGTAAAGATAATCGACCAGTTCACTTTACACAGTTCCGTATACGTAATGTTACAAAGTCACTACAATCGGTCGGAACAGAAAAAAAAAGAGAAGGAATAATAATAAAGGCTGAAGTTTTCACCGCGATAGATTTAATCTGGTATTCTTATAGTGGGCTGTGAAAACAGCTTCCTGATATTATTCCTACTGCAGAGAAACTTTCGAACGAATAACTTCGCAATTAAAATCATGCGGCTCGCGTATACGTAATTCCGAACATAATAATACTTCGCGCAAAGGCACTTATGACACAATAGGAGTACACAGAAAAGTTTAATTTGGGAAAGAATTAGCGCGCATGAGCGCATATTTTGCACTCGCTACTTCTGGGTGAACAACAACTTCAAAAATAAACATTGTTAATGCTGTAGCTTTTGTATTATTTGAAGTAGAATCGTATTTGGATATTGAACAATTTAATATTAATATAATATTATATTCAGTACGCATCAGAGTAATACACAATGTTATATCAATAATACTTATATTATTAATGTATTTACATTATGTTAATACTAGCATACTCGTGTAATACATTAATGTATTAGTAATATTATAAATTGAATATCATGAATAATATAAATTTGTTACATGCGTTTGCAGATATACCGGGTATTAATAATATATGGAGAAAAATCACAACAAATAAAAAGTGTCTAATTAAAAAGATTTATAACATGCAGTGTTGTGCTTATTATTAAATAATTTTAAAATTATTGTAGCTAGATAAAGATAAGATAAAAATATATAAATTTATCTTAGATAAGATAAAGATGATTTTGTTTTAAATATATTTAGATAAAATATAAAACTATATGGCGATTCATCTAGATAATTTTCTAGATAATAATTTTTAAGACTGCTTATGTAAACGCAGTTATAAAAAAATGTAAATTATAAAAGGAATATAAAAATATATGTATTCATAGTTTTATTTATAAATTTTTAATGCTTATTACTTAAGTTCTATTTAAGTATTTCTATATGCTATGATTCTAAACCAAAATTATTTAAAAATTATTCTAGATAACTTAGTAAAGATAATACTTTTTTTCATCTAAGATGCAGATATAGATAATATATTTTTTTATTATCTATATAAAAAATAAGATAACGCCAAAATTTCATTTAGATGTTCATCTATATAATTTTATTTGGATAACAGCAAACACTAATAACATGACACACTAGAATTGTTAATAAATAATTACGAAACGATTTACACGCGTATATATTATCGTTGCTGCGGAAAATGCGCGGCGGATAGTCAATTTAAAATGGAAATGACCGCAGAAAATTAACCATTCCGGCATCCTAGCGCGTGTCATTAATTTTAAATTCAATAAATTGAGATACGCAATTTCAGCAATTAATAGACGTCGTCACACGCATTCGCATTTGCTGATTAAATAGGAGTAAAGTTTCAGTTCACTTTTACTATTCTCACCGCTACACTTTCTTTTGATATCGATCTTTTTACTATCATTTATTATTATGCAATATGTATATACGACCTTTCAGGAACACATATCTTTTGAATGTAAAGCCTGTAAATATATTCAAAAAAATTCATCATTTTCAATAAATTGCTATCGAGGGACAATATCTCCATAATGAAAGTTTTGATTTACAAGAAAGTTGCTACATCTCTGATACATTCGAAACTGTCAATTATCGACTTTCGGAATATCGTGTCAGCAAGCAGCAACGCGAGCAGATTGCGGTCTCCAGCGAATCACTCTAAATTCATCAAAAACAATTTAATCCCCGAGTATAGGTCAAGTGGAAACTATCGCATACATCGTTTCCCCGATTTTCGTTGCGGATCGATCGAACAACCAATCGACTTTCGGAAGGGAATCGCTCGGCCTCTCGAAACACCCTTCTATCCTAGACTAGAGAAGTCAAATCAATATTTTCGAATTCAAATATGGAAATCCAAATTCAGATGTATGGAAATTTATTCGTCCCGATAACTCTGATAAACCATGGATACGCGAATATTCTAACACCATTCGAACCAGCCGAGATCGAGGTACAAAGTCATTCGAAGATTAACTGTACCCGCGGGAACTACGTGTGATAAACCAAAAATCGCGTCCATGTTATATATCTTGTGCGGTACCGAATTTTTACGTTCGCCGCAAAAACCATTTCTGGCATGCGAGAATTTTTCCCAATCGCGTTAACGAGTTTCAACAACTTCCTAAAGTGGCAGCGATGGTGGTCAGCGTCTTCAAATGATTCTTTTTAATTTCACGGCCGGTGACGATTCTACCTTCTTTTCTACGACAAATGTCGTGGCGCACGAAAGTGTAGGAAAGAGATAACACGCTGGTTGAACATGCTATGAGCATGGAAATGAGGCGAGTATATTAAATTCGAAGGAGAGAGAGAAAAAGTTGGTACCAAATGTAAATGTTCCAACGCGTTCGTATATTCGGACGGCGGAGAGAAAAAAGCGAGTAAAGGAAAAGCACTTTTGTGTCTACAAAAAATTCCAAATTCAATTCTTTGCCTCTTAAATTAATTAAGCTTTTAATATTAATGAAGCGAACACAGGAACACAGAAAAAGCATTGTCAACCGAATTAATAAAAATCAATTATAAAATTGCATTATTTATCACTGTAAATTATTTCATTGCATCGATTTGTTTAATTAAGAGGTTTGATTATTTATAAATGTAAAATATATTAATAAATTTTATGAAATCAGACATTAAATTTTGAGATTTGCACATAGAAATTGTTTGCTCATAAAAAACATGAAAATAATTACTTTATATTTGAAGTTAATATTTTTATTTATAATATGTTAAGGTACCTAATAAAAACCAGTCAATAATTAATTTTAAATCAATAAATAATTTTAAAATATACTAATTTTGTATATAAATAATGTTTTTCACGATTTAAAATGTATAAAACAAAAATATATCTAATAAAATAATAAAAATATATATTTGACGTTGACTAAAAGGGAGGTTCTTTGATCAATTAAAAATTCTTCATCTACTTATATACATTAGTATCGCAGAATAAAAATTTAATCGCACAAATGTAGAATAATTCGAATTTTTCCGCTTTGCAGCGCAGAGATGCGTTTCCATCCGCGGTCGAACGGAGTCGAAAAAACGCGATGAAACAGTTAAGAGAGAAAAAGAAAACAGAATGCAAAGATAAAGATAGCGGAGAAAAGCGTCGCCCACGACGGCGTTGTCTTCCTCTTCTCCTGTTGACTTCCTACCCGTCGACAATTTCATCGGCACGCTCGAGTTGCCCAGCGGGCAGAGCGTTGCGTCCCCTATAAAAGCGAGGGTAGACGATAGCGGTACCAGTGTGTGCTCACTGCCGACCAACATGAACAGCACCGACAAGCTGAAAGTGAGTAGCTCCAGTAAGATAGCCGCTCGAATCACGAGTCTTTACATTCGCCCGAATCGTGCAACGTACTGCAGTCTCTCATTTCTAAGCGCGATGACTCGTTTTCTACTAGCTTTAAGGCAAATTTTTACATCACTCGAAATTTATTAAACATTACATCTGCGAAAATTTGAGCGAGATTATAAAGCAATTACATTTGCTCAGAATTTATAAGACAATAGTTATATTTTTTCTTCAAATTTTTAAATTAAAAATGTACTTTCTTTAATCTGACAAATAGATTTAATGTCATTGTCGTTAAAATTTTTCGGCTAAACTAATATTAATCTATCTAAGGGCTTACATTATTTATACAAGGCACTCGAATAAATCGTCGATGCAAGACACCCGCGACAAGACCTCTCATGAAATTTCGTGTTAGCATTAGCAAAGCAAATTATAACAAAGCCTATACATGTCGCATAACTCCATATCTCGTATACAGACAAAGCTCTACGTTCATCATACGATTGATAAATTCAGAGACAATTGTGTTTCCTTGCTTCTGGCAGGTAATACTCTTATGCGGCCTAGTATTATCGGTCGTGGCCGAGGAGGCGAAGAAGACCGAATCCAGCGCTCAACCAAAGGATGAGAAGTCGAAGCGCGGATTGGAGCTGAGCCTGGGTGATCACGGTGGTTTCGGGGGCGGTTTCGGCGATGGTGGCTTCGGCGGACACGGCGGGGAAATAATCTCCACTGATCACATCAAAGCGGTGACGGTCACGAAGCACGTGCCGGTACCGCATCCGTATCCGGTCGAGGTCACGAAGCACGTGCCCTACCCGGTGAAGGTACCGGTCAAAGTGCCGGTCGACCGTCCATATCCGGTGCACGTACCGCAACCTTACCCGGTAGAGGTCACGAAGCACGTGCCCTATACGGTAGAGAAGCCGGTGCCCTATCCGGTCAAGGTGCCCGTCAAAGTGCCCATCAAGGTGCCCTATCCGGTCAAGGTACCGGTCAAGGTTCCGGTCGAAGTAGCGAAACCAGTTCCCTATCCCGTCAAGGTACCCGTGGTCGTCAAAGAACCCTATCCAGTGATCGTTAAAGGTCATCACGACGAAGGATTCGGCGGCGGATTTGGACACGACCTCGGCGGCGGTTTGGAGTTCGGCGGACACGATTTCGGCGGATTCGGGCATCATTGACACAAAATTGTTTAGCAGGAAGGAAGCGCAAGGACCAGCGTCCCCTTTCGTCCGACGTTAAAGGACTCGCGCGGCGCGAGACGAGGAAGCTTCATTCGAGGAATCGATCGTCGTGAGGAGATCGAGGAGCGACCGACCGGAGCGATCACACCGTTCTAAATAAAAGTTAACGCGACGCAATCAATATTCTGTTTCATTGTGATCCTATCCTCGGATTGTACCATACACCCTGTAAATGTAAACACGAATAAAGTATTTTCTTTTTTGTACGTAACGATTGCTTACGAAACCGCTATAATGTTGGGAGAGCACGAGAGGGAATGAATGCTTATAGGAGACGTATTAGTCTGACACGTTACGCGATTATGAGGGATTGCGAGTGGAGAACTTTCACTCGTTGATATTACGCGAGTTGCGCCAAGAGAGAGAAAGAGAGAAGAGATACCACCTGTTTTACCGTAAACAGTGTAGAAAAACAAGCGTAGGGATCGTTAAAGTAAACGTCATCTATAAGCATAGTGGTAGAAGTAAATGTCAGAGCGTGCGAAAATTGCGCGGCGGAGCGGTAAATATTCCTATGCGAATGTCCTCTCGCCTCTCTCTTTAAATTAATCTCGTCTTTCGACACATGCATCACGCGCCACCATGCACGACGTATGCGTGTCTTACGCCATAAGGATTCGACCAACCATCGTTAAGCCGCCAACTGCGTCGTTTGATTTTTCAGGGCTGCACCGATTGCTTCTGAGACGTAGTGTGAAACGCATGTGTATTACATGTGTGTGTAAAAATCAAGGGGCTGTTACCAAACACCACGTGATTTCGACACGTCGACGCTTACGCGCTGTCTTTACGACACTTATTCGATATTATCAGAATTTATGGTCAGAAATATTTGTATAACGGTGTTCGAGATACATAGTTGCTTTGCATGCGAGTTTGGTCTAATTATGTGGTATACAACACAAGTGTTCCGAAATACATGATTTTTAAATATCTCTACCCCGCAAGTTCTTACAATATAAACTGGTATGGAAATGATTAAACACTTTCAATTTATTCCTCAAGGATCAGCTTGCAAAAATACTAAGTCTCTCATTTCTTTTCATATTTAATATTATAATAATAACTGTGCTCCCCGGTGAAATATCTAAGCAATAATTATATACAAGTACACAGGAAATACCGATATCCTTATACGATGTCGTGTATATTTCCCAATTTAATAGATATCGCTAACCTGTAAACCTGGGAATAATTCTGTACAAAATGGGATTTTCAGACGTCGCGTCGAGATCAGCGGACTTCCTCATATTTTTTTTTTCTCCCGTTTCCGTAAAGGTTTTGCACGCACGCGAATAATGTCGCCATCGCTTTCGCGATTCCAAGTTTGTAACCAGATCAAACTTTCCTTTCGTATTATATATACGATACATATACAATACACGTAGCGTCCATCCCACTACAGTCAGATAACTATGGTAATAGAACGCAAACCTAATTGCCTCCCACGGTAATAGACCCGTAGCTTTGGCTATACAAGTTCCTCCGCGACTATATAGATCTTAGGTACTATTATGCACGATCCATTCTGCGGCGGCGTAACTCGTCCCGACGATAGGATGTCTCGTTAATATGTGGTTACCGCGTAAACCGAGCCGGCCCGAGAGACACACAAGAGACACGGTAGACATTCACCTTCTCCGTTGTCGTCATCTTCGTCTTCGGCGGAAATCTCTTCCTTCTCCCTGGCGTCTTACTTTCGTTGCGGTCCCGATACCGGTACGATCGGATAGCAGCATCGTTTCGCCACACCCTGGACTCATTTCCGCGTGCCGAGTCCGTTTCCGTCGCGCGTGCTAAACTAGAAATTGAAAGCGGCAGGTCGTAAACGATCCGGGATCTTAAGCATCCAGGAAAAGTCGGGTCGAGGAAGATCGATCGTCACGCTTGCTCGTTACGTATAAACGATGCAATTCGGCAAAATTGCAGGGAACGACGACGATCCATGTATGCCTTTGTTGCATGTGAGTGATTTTCGTTATGGGTGAACTGTAATTTATATTAGCGGCGCTACGATCGCGAAAATCGATTGGTCACGAAAACGCCAACCCGGTCCATATATGTGATCGGTTATAAAGATGAGATAAAAATATGTAAATTTATCTTATAGATAAGATGAAGATGATTTTGTTTTAAATATATCTAGATAAAATATAAAATTATATGACGATTCATCTAGATAATTTTAAAAACTGCTTATTTAAACACAGTTATAAAAAAATGTAAATTATAAATATATTTATATTTTTATTTATAAATTTTCAATATTTTTTATGCGTTATGATTTTAAATCAAATTATCTGAACATTATTCTAGATAATTTAATAAAGATAATACTTTTTTTTTTATCTAAGATGCAGATATATAGATAATACATATTTTTGTTATCTATATATAAAAAATAAGATGACGCCAAATAAGTTTCATCTAGATGATTATCTATATATAATTTTATGTAGATAACAGCAAACACTGGGAATAAGAAATAAATTTATCTTCTCGCGAAAATATATTACGTGTTCGATCGAGACATACGGTTACTCGATGAGCAAATCCCGCGTTATCCAACACATGCGTTATCCACACGCTGCGTCCCGAGTAATGATAGTTAATGGTCTAGGAAGTTCGCTTCGGAAAAGGAGAGAGAAAGAGATTTCTTCCATTAGTCGTGAAACACACGTGTGTACGAAAATAAATTGAGATGCGCACATTACGTTTATAAACATCCAGGATGGTCGAGGTGCGAGTTACATAATAAATGTAGCTATATATGTAAATGTGTGTGCACAATGACTTTGCTGTTTAACCGTGACGCAATATCTCCTTCAAGTGATAGACCATTCAAGAAAAGTGCGTGCGACTGCTTCTTCAGCATTTTTAGAGAGAGAAAGAGGAAAAATGAAAATAGTAAATGCTACAATGTTTTAATAATTATAAAAATTTCCATATTTAAATTAATATCAATTAAACTATTGTACATGTATATTTTCCTCTTTACTCTCAAAATATAAAAATAGTTTTTAAAAAATTGTTATATTGATTTGCCTAATTGTATATATATATATATATATATATATATATATATATATATATATATATATATGTATTTTATATATATATACATATATATGTATAATTGATCAACTTCCTGTCCCATTTCTTTCAAATGTGTGATACTATAATATAGAATAAAATTTTATATGTATAATAATATTATAAATATTATAAATATAATAAATATAAAAAATAGTTATATTGATTCGCCTGATATATATATAATCGATCAGCTTCCTGTCCCATATTTCTTTTAAATGTGATACTATAATATGGAATAAAATTTTATATATACATATAATAATATAATAAATATAATAAATATTATAAATATTATAAATATTATAAATATTATGCATATAATAAATATTATAAAATTATTTATTACATATTTTATATCTTAACGTTTTGTCTCGATTATGCAAGACATGATTCTTGCAATTTGAGACTTGTTATTCGAAGCAACCTCTATTACGAACATCTGTTCTGTAGTAGTTTGGAAAAAATAACGAGAATTTCGATATCGATGACACATATAAATTATGGACTGATAGCGTTACGTCAAACGCTTCCTCGCGTGATAGATACAGTTTGAAGCACAATAAACGCTTAATCGATTGCGAAATCGCGATTTTATATGGCAATGCCATATTTGCATTTTATGCAAATGAGGTTCGAGATTCGATCGATTTTCACGGGTGTTGTTAATAACATACCACGCATAGGTTGCGCCGTTAATAATGTTTTTACGCGGCGATGTTTATCGCGCCCAATTAGAGAAATCTCGAGAACAGAGAAACAGCACGGCTGGCTGGGACAGAAAATGATGGTTATTGCATTGTCTGCACTTTTGTGGTTACTGTACTATCTTCCGTTTCTCTCCGTGAAAAATGCATTGCTAAAACGTGTCAATACACTGTAAAAAAATTTTGTAAAATTACATTAAAAATATGTAAAATTACATAAATAATAAATGTAAAATTACATGATAAATAATGAAAAGATAATCATTTCTATTATTTATCGTATATAATTTTACACTTATTATTTATGTAATTTTACATATTTTTGTGTAATATATTACATATTTTTTTACAGTGTATATTATATATAATTGTGATATTAATTAATATGTGCGTACTAATGCACAGATGCACATTTTCGCACATATTAAATCTTTTAAATCTAAGATAAGTTATCGCGTGTCAATAAAAAGTTAATTAACTTGGACATAAACTTCTAACAAATATATGAAAACATGTAACAAACCTCATATTATCTTAACTTTTCATAAACTATGAAATAACTATTCGACATATTTTGCCGACTGCATCAATAGAAATGCCGAAATCCCTTCCATAACGTCACTCTGATATCGTTTTGTTTGAACGGAAAATGATCGCCGACATAATATTGATATTGTCGATAGTGTAGTCCAAAGTTTATCTTTCCTAGGAAATCTGTGCTTCGAAATCCAAAGCAAAATTTGATCTCAAAGAAAGAGATTCCGAGAAAGTTAATTAAAAAATTGGGGAAAAAAATATATGTCGAATATGTAGTTTATTATCTTTTATGATATAATCAAATAATAAAAATATTTCAATAATAATTTAATATAGAATATAAATTGTGTAACGTTATCAATAAAAATCAATTATTTTAGTTTATAAAGGGATCACTTTGATTACAGTTATACAATTTATTGTGTAATTTTGTTATTTTTTATTTACATATTTGATGAAATAACAATAGAATGGAAATAGTGATTTCCAGAAGATATAATTGTTATTAACATTGTTTTAACTGAATTTGATGATTAATTAAATGATATAGAATTTAACATATCTTGTTAGAAGTTTAATTATATTTGCATTTCATTTTTTCTTGTTATTTATTGCTTCACAAGTGATCTCTTATCTATATATTTATTTATCAAGGCGAACATTAAATTTTGTTACAACATTAAAAGCGAGAGAAAGAGAAAGATTAATTTTGTTTAATATCAATCCCATACAAAAATGTTTAATTTTAGTTTTTAAATGTATTTCCAAATTTATAATAGTTATAGTTCCTATAACATATATATTATTTCATATAATGCCACCGTTGTATAATAAATGCAGTAATTACGTAAACAATATATCTGAGTCTATTATT